CCCCCCCCCCAATTTTTTTTTTAAGAGCGAGATAAAGTACAAGCAGGGGGGAAGGGTAGAGGGAGAGAGAGAGAGAGAATCTCAAGCAGGCTCCATGCTCAGTGCAGAGCCCAATAAGGGGCTCAATCTCAGGATCCTGAGATCATGACCCGAGCCAAAATCAAGAGTTGGACACTCAACCAACTGAGCCACCCAGGCGCCCCAATAAATAAATCTTAAAAAGAAAAACCCAGTGGCATAAAACAACAATTACTAATTCTCCTAAATCCATGGGCTGACTGGGGTCAGCATTCTAAACTAGGATTGGCTAGAGAGTTTTGCTGTGTGACATCTGTCTCTCTTCCTGGGACCAGCTGGATAGCCTAGGCATGTTCTTCTCATGGTGATGGAAGAAAGGTAAGAGGACAAGTATGGTTTTGCAACTGCTTTCATGTCTGGGTCATAACATGTCTGTCAACATTCCAGTGGCCAAAGCAAGTCATATGGCCAAGCCCAAAGTATGCTCTATCTAGAGTGGGGATGGTAGGAAGGAAGAAAAGATTTCTAAACAATGATATAGTATATTCATTAATTTTCTAAAATTAAACTAACTTTGCATTTATAGAATAAACCTAACTTGATCTTTTTTTTTTAAGATTTTATTTATTTATTTGAGAGAGAGAATGAGAGACAGAGAGCACGAGAGGGAAGAGAGTCAGAGGGAGAAGCAGACCCCCCGCTGAGCAGGGAGCCCGATATGGGACTCGATCCCGGGACTCCAGGATCATAATCTGAGCTGAAGGCAGTCGCTTAACCAACTGAGCCACCCAGGCGCCCAAACTTAACTTGATCTTGATGTTTTTTCTTTTTCTTCCCCTCTTCCCCCTCCTCCTTCCTCTCCTCCTCCTTCTACATTATTAGATTTGGGTTGCTTTTTTTGGTATTTTATTTAATTTTTTATCAGTTTTATATTGAAATATAATTGAAATACCATATAATTCACTCATTTAAAGTGTAAAATTCAGTGGTTTTTGTTGTATTCACTGAGTTTCCAACTATCATCACAATCAATTCTAGAGTATTTTCATCATCCCAAGAAGAAACCTCATGTCCGTTGGCAGTCACTCCCTATATCCCCCTCCGACTCCTTCACCGATAGTCCTAGGCAACCATTAGTTAACTTTTTCATTGCATAGTTTTGCCTCTTCTGGACATTTCATATATTGAATCATGCAATATATGGGCTCTTGTATCTTGCTTTCACTCAGCACAGTGTTTTCAAGGTTTATCCATGTGATAGCATGTATCAGTACTTCATTCTTTTTTATTTTATTTTATTTATTTATTTTTATTTTTTTAATTTTTTTTTAAAGATTTTATTTATTCATTTGAGACACAGAGATACAGAGAGAGAGAAAGCATGAGCAGTGGGAGAGGCAGAGGGAGAGGAAGAAGCAGACTCCCCGCTGAGTCAGGAGCCCGATGCGGGACTCGATCCCAGGACCCTGGGATCATGACCTGAGCCGAAGGCAGACGCTTAACCATCTGAGCCACCCAGGCGCCCCTTCATTCTTTTTTATTGCTGAATAATATTCCATTGTTTGAATGTACCGTGTTTATCTGTTCATCAGCTGGTTGTCGTTTGGGTTGTTTCCACTTTTTGGCTGTTATGAATGATGCTCCTATGAGCATTCATGTATGGGTTTTTGTGTGGACATACGTTTTCATTGCCTCAGGTCCCTTTTGATGTGTTTTGTTCCCCTGTTCTTCCTTTACTACCTTTTTTGGTTTAAACTAATATTTTTTAGCATATAATTCTAGTTTTCCTGTTTGTTTTTTTTTTTAACATTTTAGTTACTTTCTTAGTGGTTGCTCTAGGGATTACAATCTAGTCAAATTGTTGAAAGGCAAACACACAGTTATCTAAACCTTATGTAGTTGATTTGCTTGGGTAATCCTCTGGAGAACACTTAGATGTTCTGAAGTCCCCAGCATGACATCTAACTGGTAGTGCTGGCTAGTAAAGCTATTCATATTTGAATTTATTTTTCATGTAATAAGCTATCTTACACTACTCTTATTCTCATTGTTTTTCAGTGGCTTCTTAGGGTTTTGTAGCTAAGCAGATAAAGATTTTCTTCTTTCCCAACATTTATGGTTCTTATTACTTACTTTTGTTTCATGTACTGTCTAGACTATCTAGAGTAATGTTGAATAATAAAGGTAATAGTGATCAGTCTTGTCTTGGTTCTGACTTTTATAAAACTGCCTAAAATGAAGGACTATCAACTCTACACGCTGGCATCCATCTTATGCCCATGGCCAACATAGTTAATCCTCAGTACTTTTTCTGCTAAGCCACGACCCTTTTTCAGAAACCTCACAGTAACATTCCCCTAAATGACTAGTTAATTGGTTTTGGTACAGTGAATGAGATCTGTTGGCCCTGGCTATTCTCTTTGAAGTAGTTTGATACTGGCTGTTCATTTCAAATATTCTTTTTCATGTTTCTGTTCCTGGTTTACTAAAAAGACTTTTATTTTTATTTTTTTT